AGAGGTACAAAGCTCGGCTAGTTGCAAAAGGGTTCACTCAGACTTATGGTATAGATTACTTGGAGACATTTGCCCCGGTAGCCAAGATGACCACCATTCGGGTTCTATTATCTCTTGCAGCAAGCCACACTTGGCCTTTGTACCAAATGGATGTTAAAAATGCCTTCCTGAATGGGGACTTGCAGGAAGAGGTTTACATGCAATTGCCTCCTGGATACTTTGATACAGAGACAGGTAAGATGGTCTGCCGGCTCAATATGGCATTTTATGGTTTGAAGCAGTCACCTAGAGCTTGGTTCGACAGATTCAGACTAGCTCTTGGAAAGTTCGGTTTTGTACAGGCCCAGTCAGATCATACACTCTTCATCAAGAGGGTGGAGTCTTCACTGACACTACTTGCAGTATATGTTGATGATATTGTGGTGACAGGAAATGACAGCCATGTGATTGAGTCCCTCAAACAGCTCCTTCATCAAGAGTTTGAGGTGAAAGATCTGGGTACACTACGGTATTTTTTGGGCATTGAGGTTGCTAGATCTAAACAGGGGATCTTTGTCTCTCAGTGGAAATATGTTTTAGATCTGTTGGCTGAAATTGGAAAGCTGGGTGTCAAGCCTGCAGATACACCCATTGAACAGAACCACAGGATTAGTGCAGAGAGTGGGGAGCTGCTTGAAAACAAAGTTATGTTCCAGCGGTTGGTCGGAAAACTCCTATATCTCTGCCTCACTCGGCCGGATATTACTTATGCTGTTAGTGTTGTCAGCCAGTAGATGCATTCTCCTAGAACCACATATCTTCTTGCGGCAGAATGAATTTTAGCTTACTTGAAGAGATGCCCGGGTAGGGGTATACTGTTCAAGAACAATAACCACATGAAGGTGGAGGTCTATACAGATGCCGATTGGGCTGGGAGTGTTGATGACAGACAGTCTACCTCAGGATATTGTGCCATTATGGGAGGAAACATTGTCTCCTGGAGAAGTAAGAAACAAAGTGTTGTCTCCCGGTCTAGTGCCGAAGCAAAATACAGGTCCATGGCCAACGGAGTGGCTGAAATCCTATGGCTAAGATCTCTACTTGAGGAGTTGGGTATTGAGTATGAAAAGCCTCTGATGCTGTATTGTGATAATCAAGCAGCCATTAATATAGCAAATAATCCAGTGCAGCGTGACAGACCAAACACATTGAAGTTGACCGACATTTTGTACGAGAGAGGGTCTCATCTCAGGAAATATGCCTCCCTTACATCACATCCAGTATGCAACTAGCAGATATCCTCACTAAAGCTGTATCAAGAAAGAAGCTAGAAGCGGATCTATCCAAGTTGGGAATGATAAACATTTACTCCCAACTTGAGGGGGAGTGTAGAGAAACTGATGTGGGCCGCACAGCTGTGGGGTCACTCTGTCCGTAGGGTAGAATATACCTAGTCTATCTGTTATGTTATTCTTTTATTCTAGTTCTATTATTTACTTTTCAGCTTTTTATATTGTTAAGTGTTATGATGTAAACACCAAGGGCAAATATGTCCTTTCATGTAACT